AAAAAAAAAAAAAAATGACTGTCGCAACCACAATGTCCGTTTTTTTACACTTTACCAAATTGTTTTATGAAGAGTGGATATAGTGGCATATCTTAACGGCGTTTTCCATGCAGAGCATGTGATAATATGGTGTCCGCGTTGTGGATCAGCCTTCTTCATCTCTGTGAAACTAGGCCTGCCATGTTCTGATCAGGTCCCTCACGTTTTTTACAATTCTGTCAGAGCTTCTGTATGGATGAACCATGGACGTCGGGCAGCATTGGAGCACATTTGTGGCCTTGCCTGCTATACAGAGTCAGCGTTCGTGTCATAACACCGCTCAATAAAGGTTTGATTAAGTTTAATGATAATAGTTCTCTGTCAACAAAACAATTGCAAATCCTCCTCTTGGATAAAAATGATTTACAGAGTCTCCCTCTGTTTCTCAGCATTATAAACAGGTAGGACATGGCGGCAATTGTTGGTAAATGAATCAAATGGCATCGCTTGAGGAGAGTTGTGGGCAGAGACTTTGAGATGCCAAGGAATAAATATTCTCCCGTCCCATTGCAGAAGACCTTCAAGTTGTGTTACACTCTATTTATGTACTGGCAGATTTTGTAGACGCGGAGCTTTAGATGGACAAGGCAGCACGTAGTGTTTGAAATCTGACTAGATACGCAATGAATAAATCAATAAATAACCACTTATACGTACTGAAGGCAGTGCAGCCTAGAGAAAAGATTGAAAAGAAGAGAACAGACTGTTGGGAATAAGTTAAAACTATTTCATGGAACAAACACCGTATTAGAATTCAGGTTGTTAATGTTTTGGCCAGTAAAGAAGACCTTTGCATAAAGTTGTGTCATTTGAATGAATTTATTTCAGCGTCTGACTGTATGCAATTGGTCATTCCAACACAAAATAGCAATACATCGCATCTCTATTCCATCAAATATCAAGTTGAGAATACTGTAGCTTCACTCTGAGACTATCCTGCTGTGGTTTATCAATAGCTCATAGTTCACAGCAGGTCATCTGGCGTCAAGCTATATCCAAGCATACACACACACACACACAAACACACACACACAAACACACACACTCATAAGCCCCACAGGGATGTTCCGAGGCTTGAGGCCAGTAACAGAAGGGGTGAGGTGGCTGCACTCTCTCCTGCCGTCAGACCTTTATGCTGCATGGCCACCTTCTTCCTAAGGGGCATGCGCCACTCATACACACGCAACTGCACTCAAATGCATAGAAGAATGTAGTGTACTTCGGTCATAGAGGCTGACTATTTATCTGATACAAGGTAAGGACACCTCTTCAGTCACATGTGCATGCAAATACTTTTTAATCACAGAAAAACAAACTCTCCCAGATGTCGCAGGGCGTCACAAAGCCGATTGTGTCTGACATTGCCATGTTCACCCAATCCCCTCAGAGACGGATAAAACTACATTCCATGCCGACCAGGAATAGTTATTTTAGCATTAGTGTAACCGTTTGGGCTCTTAAACCTCTGGTAACTTTAATTAAAATGGTTTCCTATCAGGTATTCCAAATCATCTCCTTTGCTCAGATGACGTCAGTTGTATTCATTATTTTAGACACGATACAAAATACACACCTGCACAAAATCGAATACGACTCAAGTTGAGTTTTATTGCGTGCTATTATGTTTGTAACTTTAATGGGGCGGAACTCCACTGCCCCAAATTATTTGGTAAGAGCTGTTTGTAATACAGCGGTAAATAGACTGACGATGTCATCTCAACGCAATACAATGACATGAGTATGTCCCACCTCCTCGACAAACACAATCTGTATTTTTGATTACAAAAGTAGCACTCTACTGTACTGGACTGAAAAATGGACAATGCTATTCATTATTTTATCCCACGATGTGTGTGTGTGTGTGTGTGTGTGTGTGTTTGTGTGTGGGTGGGTGGGTGGGTGGGTGTGTGTGGGTGTTTGCGTGTGTGTTTTTTGTACAGTACACATTACAGTTCTTCCATACCGTCCACTTGCAACTCTCAGCCTGTTGAGAGAAATGCAATTGTGCAGCTTCAAAATTATGTAGTGTTTTTTTTTTATGTTAAGTGATTGTGATAATTATTTGTGGTTTCCCTCAAACACACATTTGGCCAGCTGACACTAATTGCCGGTGCAGTTGTTTTAAAATGTTTTATTCATAATATTATACTGCATCGTGTTTCTTTTTCATTACTGAGTTATTTGTGTGCAACCTACACAGCATGTGCCCAGGATGTTATTTTATTTTGTATTTTTTGTACACTTTCTTGTTTTCTACCCCATTTGTAATCACACCCATTTTCAAGTAGTTACCCAAGTGGTCCACATTTGCACACCGGTCCCAAGAAGTTATTCTGCAGGCTGTCGTTCCTTAGAAGCAACCCGCACGTCACAATACACTTAATGGACTTAATGGAATCCTCCAAAGTTTCAATTTGCAATCGAATTTCCCAGAATGTATTCAATGTGTGCTTTGTTGTCTTCTTTCTGCCCTTACTTGCTTTTTCATTGTGATTTTTCTCAAATATTTTAAAAGAGATTTGCTTGAGTCAAGTTTTTAGACCATCTGATAACTAATACAATAGCATAAGTACATAACATGACAAATCTTCTTTAATCTGAATGGAAGTGCACTTTTGGGGCGAGTCTGCACAAAATTTGATGAGTTAAAAAAAAAGTCATTCCTAAATCTAAATGAGATGTACATTTGAATTTTGACACTTGCCAACTTTGAGACAATTTACACAACCTACGTTACTGCAGTTATTAGTTCTATCCCAAAATAAAATACTGTACCTTGCTACCGCTGGTCTGTTTCAGGCTAATCAAGTCATCAGAGAATAAACTGGAAAGTGCAGTTGTTGCTACCCTCTGTTTAAAGATTTAAGACTATTTCAATCGTATTTTTTAAATCACTTAACTAAAAATGTGGTCTTATGTATACATAGCATGATCGCAAATACTTACAATATGTCAATCCCCACTTTGCCTTAAATTTGCTTCTAATTTCAAAATGACATTTGAATTGATTCTACCGATAAGCGGTTCAGATCATGGATGGAATGTGTGAAACATGCCTTTGATGCTACAGTGGACCACAGGAAACTGTAAAAATGTCTCATTGCTCATGCTCCACTCATTGATTGAGCGACTGGTGGAATTAGTTAGCCATTAGAATGTAGATGATCTGATCAAGGAGCCATGGCAAGCAAATCACGGAAACAAATCATTTGAATGTAATCAGCTAAATTGTGCGCAACATGGCTGCTCATTTTCAGACCGCCAATTTTAAAGGAAGTTCAAAGTAATTAAATAGACTTTACAAGTATCAATGGAATTGCATTGCTTTGACCCCTTCCGATGTCACTGACAAGGATTCCTTTTGTGCTTTAGCTGCTTTCTACTCATTTACAGTGCTCGAGGACAGCCTTCTGTTGATGTTGGTGGTCTTTTATGGTGCAAAGAAACCAACACAGTTTCTTGAAATCTTGACAATAAATTGACCTTAACCTTTCTTGAAGTTTTACTATTTCCTCATTTCAGATGTTTTCTCCCTTGCATTCACGTGGCGTGTTGCAAATTCGTCACTTCTGGATTTTTATCAGACTGTAGAGTACATTAAACCTGTTTGGCCAGTCTTACAAGGTGGTGCAAGGTTCAAATGTCCCATCTGGATTAAAAATGCATTACATTAAATTATCCTTTGGCGAATATTAATTTTATGATAATTCATATTTATGTTGCAAGATAGGTTTCTGTCACAGCCACCGGTTTCTGGGCAATTTACTAAAGATTTTCTTGTCCACACCAATTCTCCAGTCTGTCCCCTGAACCCTGGACTGGTTGATAGCAAGTTAGGCTACATATGTAAACCACAACTAGACCAATAAGTCAGATCAGAAATTGTGTGATTACCCCCCCCCCAAAAAAAGGTTGAAAAGATTAAACATTTAAATACCGTTAAAATGTCCCTATGTGGTAACTGCATATCTCAAGAAACGTGTTTAATTGTACAACCTCTGATAGTGTCTGGCTGACCACTGTTCCCCTAATGAGATACAGGTATAGGCGTTTTAGAAAATGAATGGATGAATTTCATTTTCAGTTTCCGCGTGGGAGGCAGGAGTCGTGGAGACACATGCACTACAGTAAAGCCAACAGGAACTGTACACTTGTGACAAACACAACTGTGTTGAAACAACTGATTTGACAGCTGGCTGGCAAGAACAGGTGACATACTCAATCTTCAAAAGTGTTGGTAGAGTGATGCCAATTTCTGATATATCTTTAAACTGGCATCCAATTATGTGTTGTGTTCATTGTTTTACTTTATGTTCGTGTTGTACTTTATGTTCGTGTTTTATGTTATGTGTTGTGTTTATTATTTTATTTTATGTTAACTGTTTTGTTCAGCGCTTTGTTACAGCTGCCGCTGTTGTGAAAGCGCTATATAATTAAGCATATATTGTATTGGATTGGATTGTACAACTGCGGTGTTATGTGAGCAGACTTTCCATCACTTTGGTAAAAGTTGAGAATCTTTTTTTCCTCTTCAGCTCATAAAGTTTTCTCCCAGGACTTTTGAGCCTCACCTCTGTACAGAACAGTAAATTATACATCAACAATGAATAGAATAAACTTAACATGGGGGGGGGGGGATAATGCATGTTGACCTGTCATTCAAGCTAACAACATATTAACCAAATTTGCAGGCAGTCCAGTTCGGTCACATCGGCATAAAATGTAAATATACATTAACAGACCTCAATTGACAGACCTGGATTGGTCTACCAACACGGACACTGATTAGGAAGGGACAGAGCCGACACTTCCTACTCAGGAAACTGAGGTCTTTTGGGGTTCAGGGGTCACTCCTTAAGACATTCTATAACTCGGTGGTGGCTTCGGCCATCCATTACGGGATTGTCTGCTGGTCAGGCAGCATCTCGCCCAGGGACAGAAAGAGACTGGAGCGACTGGTCAGGTCGGCCAGTTCTGTCCTGGGCTGCTCCCTGGACACTCTGCAGGAGGTGGGAAACAGGAGGATGCTAGCTAAGCTAAAAGCTATGATGGACAGTCCCTCCCACCCCCTCCAGCCGCCCCTGACAGCACTAGGTAGCTCTTTCAGTCAGAGAGTGTTACACGCGCGCTGCAAGAAGGAGAGATACCGCGGCGCGGCTCCTACGACTGCTGTCAGGCTACTAAATAAAATAAGGCCAAGGACCGGCTCGAGGAACACATCCCTGCCACTTTGTACCAGTTGCATATATGCTTATATTTATCTACATCTATATCAGTGGCCATTGCTCTCGGACTGCAAGGGAAGCTCGGCTTCCCCGAAAATGTCAAAGAATAAGTGATCAAATATATGAATGTAAATTTCATTATGTGTACATGTCATTGACTAAATATGCGCTACAACATGCTCAACTTTTGTTCCGAATCAGCTTCTTGTTACTGGTTACGACGCGACTCCCTTCTCATTCATCCCCGCAGCTTCGCTGTGCTTTAAACGGTGGACGCCGAGAGTCCGCAGAGAGTCTATTGCCCGGACGCCGGGCGTCTCCAGAGTTCAGGGTAGGTTGTCCCAATGCGTTGAACGGAGACGAGTCATTGGATACAAGCTGCTTTTGTCCCGCCCACGGGCGCTCGGCGTCTCTCGGAGTCTATGGACAGTGGGCGTGTATCGGCCCGCCTGGACGCTGAGCTTTTCTGC